TGGGCCCCAGGCATCCCGTTGCACGCTGGTACCTGGGGACCCTCTGGTGACCCCCAGTGGTATAGAAGGGGCAGGTTCTTGTGCGGCTTTCATTTTAAAACTTGCATTTCTGCAACTTCCTGTGTTAACAATCACATCCTCTGACTACAAACTGATTGCAGAGGAATCATGTAATTTGCCATAAATGCTGACTAGTAAACCTAAGTGCTCTAGGACTCAAGGTTTTGTTTTCCTTTTTAAATTTATTTGGCTGTGTTGAGTCTTCCCCAGGTGGCTCAGACAATAAAGAATCTGCCTGCAGCGCAGGAAATCCAGATTCAATCCCTGGGTCAGGAAGATCCCCTGGAGAAGGAAATGGCAACCCACTCCAGTGTTCTTACCTGAGAATTCCCATGGACAGAGGAGCCTGGCGGGCCACAGTCCCTGGGGTCGCAGAGTTGGACAGGACTGAGCGACCGAGCACGCATGTGCCAGGTCTCAGGTGTGGCACGCTAGCCCTTTGCTGTGTCCTGGGGAATCTCCGTCACAGTGCACACCGACCGCTAGTTGTGGGCTCAGCAGTTGCCTTGCGGCATGTGAGGTCTTAGTTTCCTGTTGGGATCGAACCCACATCCCCTGCGTTGGAAAGCAGATTCTTAACTAGTGGACCATCAGGGAAGTCCCTCAAGAGGTTTTCACATCTCTCTGACTGTAGATCTTTTTACACTGTGACCCAGCACACAGGTGAATGTGAATGCAGAATAAATCTTTTCTGAAACAGCCCTTACCCTGCCAGTGTACAAAACATGCTATGTTCGAGCAGTTAGTGTTTGCGACGCTGTTTCTGATGCACGGGATTGATTTCGCTCCATGGCGGGCTGTGACCTAAGAGTGGGAAGACCCATTGTAGGGTGTGCTGAGAGGCCTCACGTGCCTGCCGCCGGGTGGGTCCCAACTCTGACATCCACTCCTTGGCCTCCCTTAAGTAGGGTGGCAGCACCACCTCAGAGGCTTGCTCTGGGGGTTGAATGGCTTCCTGGTCGGTGGTAAAGGGCTTGGCCCGTGCTGGGAACACAGGAGACACTCAGTAAACAGTGGTGAGAATAAGAAGTGAGGTCTGGTCACCCATGGGGGGAATCACATCCTGGGCAGGTTGGGGAAGGGAGGTCAGAAGGCCTCCTGAGCTGCACAGAAGTGGGCCAAGAAGCTACTTTTCTGGACTTCGAAAGCTGTGCTAAGGAGGCACGATTCTGAGCAGGGGGAGTGGTTTCCAGGGAGGACAGTGTAGAGTGTGCATGGGGAGGCTGGGCTGGGGGCAGAAGACCAGGGAGCTGTGGAGTGGGAGGGAGCAGGTCCTGAGGTGTTGGGTCGGGACAGGAAGTGGTCAAGCTGGAAGCCATGGGGGAAGGCAGTGGTTCTTACAACACGAATTCACACGTGGGGTCGCCCTTGTAATTTTTAGGTACCTGTCAGGTAAGAGGAACAAGAGAAAAGCAGACCAGCCAAAGCTACAGCGACGAGTGTTCAGTTCTGTTATGAACATGCTGGTGTGACTTCAGTTCATGGGGCTCTGGCCCTGGGCTCAGGGTCTCCAAGACCCTAATCACATATCTCGAGAGTCTCTCGGGGCCCTTGACAGGAAGTCCTCTGTGGGTGTTGGAGAGCGGCTGATGCCCTTCAGGTTCATGGTGTGAAATCACACTGACCCTGGCCCACTAACGCTGTGTTCCCTCTGTCAGGTGATGCTGTGTAACCCCATCTGCGGGGTGAGCTACGCTCTGACAGTGTGGCGGTTCTTCCGCGACCGGACAGAGGAGGAAGAAATCTCGCTGATCCACTTTTTCGGAGAGGAGTACCTGGAGTATAAGAAGCGGGTGCCCACGGGCCTGCCTTTCATAAAAGGGGTCAAGGTGGAGCTATGACAGGCCCAGGGTGGCCCAGGCCAGGCTGGGGGGCCTCCCGCTCCTTGCAGCCTGGGACAGAACTGCCTCCTGTCGACCACTCTGCAGAATGGATTTTCTTAATCATTTTCTATGTCACCAATTACTCTTCCGGAATATCACTCAAAATCAAATGGTCAGAAGGCCTTAGGACCAAAGGAACCCCCACCCCCAGCCCCCTACTCCCCACCGCCCTGGAGCAGCCTGCTCTTGGGCTGAATCAAGGTAGGACGTAGATTAAAGATGGACAAGAAGCAAATAACAGCAATACCCAGCAGCGCCCCCCAGACGTGCCTGGGGAGTGCCTCGGCCACACTTCAGCCCCCCACGAGGCCAGGGGTGTTGAGTTATAATCAAGACCCCTGGGGGGAGAGGTGAGCTCCCCCCTCACGTGAGTGAGGCACCTGCTGCAGGAAGGGGCGCACGGGCATCAGTGCTTATTAGTGTTAAGACACGTTCACAATCCTCACTTTAACCGAAAAACAGAGACAGCACAGCTTTAACCTCATTTCCGTCCTTACATGCGTGAGCTTCTCTACAATTTAAGATGCTTCCTTTGGTTCCTCATATATCTCATCCTATTTACTTATATATTTTTTAAAAATAGCAGTATAAACTCAAAGAGGACTTAACACGGTGTATGAGCCTCACACTTTATTCGGCAGAAAGGCAGCATGGATGCCCCCAATGACCTGGCTGAGGCTTCAGGTTACCAAGGCTCTCCGCGCCAGGGAGATGGTGGGCCCCTGTGGCTTTCTGAGGGTCCTGGCACCTGCTCTTCTTCCAAAAGGGCCTGGCGTTACCAGTGACAGGCGTGTCAAAGATGTGTCATTCGTCCTTTATCCAAGAAATGTTTCCTGGACACCTGCTCTGTGCAGGGCATTGTTAAACATTGAGAAATACTGCTCTCCGTTTATTTGGGGTTTATTCTTATTTTACCATAGCTTATATTTTTGTGTTTTGACTTAAATGTATTAATCATTGATTCCTATGGTCTGTTCTCAAACTTCTATCATCCCTAATCCCATTTCAGACTGTCTTTTTCAAAGGGGTTTGAGCATAAGCAACTATAAAATTCCAGCAAGTCGACTCATGAAAAAAATAGAGCTGAAATTTAATCACTGCTTTTTTTTTTTTTTTTAATTTTTTTTTCCCCATTTATTTTTATTAGTTGGAGGCTAATTACAACTACTTTTGTTTTTCAAGTTTGGGGAGAGTGGTTGGCTCTACGAGTCCGAGCTCTGAGGCGCTTGTTGAATTCTGGATTAGAGAGAGGAAACTGGTCGCAGTGTGACTTCTGTCTACGAAGCCCTGCGGTGGCGCCTTGGAGCGTGGATCGAGGGCAGCATCGGCGCCTGACTGGAGCGCTGCTGCGCCAAGCCACCTGGCTTTCAAGGAGTCACTAAACCCTTCTGTGCCTAGACCTCCCCATCTGTAGAATGGGTCCATACCACCTACCTCACAGGGGTGTTGTGAAGACTTAGAAGAACGATGTCAAATGTTTTTAACACTTTGGTGAGAGAGGTGACAAACACAACCAGTACTGCGTGAGTTACACAAAACTGGACATTGGATTCACTGTACCAGATACCGGAAACGTGTGTTCAAAACATCTTACCAACTCAAAATGCCATTTATTTCTAGATTTCCCGGCCGAATTAGTTTTTTTCATGATTATATATACCAAAGAGGTGTACGGGTTTGTCGGCGAGGGGTGTGACACTTGCTGGAGGGAGGACCCAAACGACTCCAGCCTCAGCCTCCTGAGGTCTTGCCTGCCAACAGCCCAGGCGGCAGCCTCAAGGCAATAGGTTCCTCTGGCGGGAATGCTGCCTGGTGGGACGTCAGATGCACTTAGTGTGTGTGAGGATTGAATCAGTCCTAAACTTGTTCCCCAGGCCACGCTCAGCAAAGTCAACCCACTTAGTAGGACTGCAGGATGGAGGCGGGTGTGGCTGCAGCTTTGGCAGCGGCCCCTACTCTCCAAGGCAAAGTTCTTGCTGCAGCTAGCCGGATAGGATCCAGCTTTCCTCAACACTGAGGGCTGTGAGGCTGTTTTTAGTACATGGAGAGCCGCTAATAACGCCTGGCTTTGTGGACCGAAAGACTGAAGGCGTTAGCTTCTGATAGTCTGTTCCTCCTCCACCTGCCTGCCAGGCGGGGGGCTCAGGAGGCCGGCCCTGGTGTCTTACGGAGATGCTGTCACACCATCCACCCGGGCTTGACAGGACGTTCTGCCCTGCTTTGTCCCTCAGGGCGGAAATCAGCAATTACTTAGGGATCAGAGATGAACCGCTTTGGGACAGGCTTTGGCAAGCGATTGACATTCATCTAGCACTGAGATCTTCAGGTTATTTTTAACTTCATAAATTTAGCAGTGCCAGCGTGCAGGAGGAGAATCAGGTTAATGAGGTACAGGCTTTTTGGGTATTCCCGAAAGCTTTTCTTTGGGTAAGGGCCACATCGCCAGTTCCCTCCAATTAAGGAAACCATCAGGAGACTTCTTTTTCCATCCCAGGTTTCAAAGTGGAGACTCTGAAATGGAAGAGAGGTGCTGCATAGAACAAAGTTGTTTGGAAGCAGTGTAAAAACACTTCATGAGAGTTTGCAGGCTGGGGCCAAGAATGCTGGTTTATGGAAAGAAGTTGTGGGGCGAACCTGACAGTAGGCAGCATACCCCACCACCTTTTCATGGTCATGAGCTGTTTTGTACACCTAAAAAGTAAACTCTATTAATCCCTTTAACTAACTCTGGTTGGTCATCATGATGGGGAAACATCCCTGAACCCAGGGGTTGCATTAATAGTAGGGTCTCCTTTTGGTAGCAGCCCCTCCGTGATGGGAATGGTGACTCTCTGGCCCTTCTCTGCACTTTCTTAACTGCCTTAGATAGTTGTGCTCTCTCTCTGCTCCGCGTTTTGCTTCTATAGCGACTTAGCAAGGCCGGGCCACCCCCAGCCTATCTGGCTTGGGGGGTGGGGGTGGGGGGAGACTTGCTGTCAGTCTGTGCCCTCCTGGGCTCCCTCCCGTGGGTCTGTCCCATAGCTAAGCTAGGAGAGTAACCTTACAGAGTAATTGCTCTTTTTACATGCAGAAATGTTTATTTAAATATTGGATTTTCTTTCACAGATACTGATGGTTTCCAATTCTTAAATAAAACTGTACTTGATTTCGCTATGAACAACAGTGTGACTGTGTGGGATTCAGAAACTCTTAAGGTCTTGTTACTTCCAGTTAAGAAATGTCCAGAACCTACAGCATAAAGCCAGACGTGTCTGCCTCCTCCCTTCAAGTTCTGAATTCCTTCCTCTAAGCTTGTGTTCCTCCTGCCCACACCCCCTCACCACTGTGGAGGTCCGCCCCTCCCTCCCCCAACCGGGGAGGTCTGTGATGGCTTTGGGATGGGACCTGGGAGCACACAGCAGGTGTGCAGGCCTTGGGTGCTGATGTGACCAGTGGACCAGTGGGACCTGCAGGCCCACCTAGCACATGAAAGCCACCTGAATCACTAAATCAAGCTGGTATTTGTTTAAGATGTGACTCTCGGCATCATTTTGCCTCCAGAACTTTGAATGTTAGGTCATGCAGATCGTTGTTCAGTGGCTTAGCTGTGTCGGACCCTGTGACCCTGTGGACTGCAGCATGCCAGGCTTATCGGTCCTTCACTATCTCCTGGAACTTATTCAAACTCGTGTTCATTGAGTCAGTGATGCCATCCAACCATCTCCTCCTCTGTCGCCCCATTCTCCTGTCCTCAATCTTTCCCAGCATTAGGGTCTTGCAGGTTAATTTGCACGTTTTAAGTGTTCTGTTTAAGTTCCACTTGAAAAAAAGGCTACTGGGTAAGAATGAAAAACCACTGGAACAAAGTTGCAGGTGAATCATGGTTTAACGTGCACACACGAGAGTGACAGCAGGTGGGGACAGTCGTGGGTATGTGGGTACGGAGGTGGTCTTTCTTCACTTTATGAGCTCAGCCCGGGCCCCACAGTGAGAAAAGCTGGAGCGAAGGTTTTTCCCCTTGGCTGAGTCAGCACTAGGATCACGATGATCCTAGTGATGAGCACTAGGATAACTTTCCAGCTAACAGCGGGGCCGTGGTTCAGAAGGAACAGGCTTCCTCTGAGGCAGAGTAGTCCAAGAGGCTCGTTCATGAAATTCAGAGGGTGCACCTTGGTGGGAGCTCACAGCCCCCAGTACACAGGGAGGTGCGGGATGAACTGGGATGCCTCCTGGAGCCACTGTGATAAGGGTCAGGACTCTGAGCCATGAGAAGTCTAGCCTGTCAGAGAACCTGAAATGGGGACCTGCTGGAGTGTCTGGGTTTTACTGATGATAAATGATTACAAATTATAAAAAAATAACAGGAACTGTCTTCTTAACTGTCCTGACCTTGATTGGCTTGTTGCAAAGTGCCTGACCCTGGAACTGGTCCCAGGCTAAGCTGGGCGTTCCCTCCAGGTGGAGACATCAGCCCCGTTTTTTGATTTGGGTCTGTGTGTGTCTTTGTTTTTCAGTGGAGGCTCCTCTGCAAGGCTGCCCAGAGCTCGGCTGTTTCTCAGCTCTGAGTTCTTCTCCTTCTTCTCTGTGACACTTACTGGATCGCTCCTAAAGAAACACTAGGCGTGAACCCCCTCTCCGCTCCCGTCTCCATCTCCCTGGAGTCCCAGCGCTAAAATCCACCCAGGCAGAGGCTTTCAGAACAGCAAGCCTTCCCAAAGGGCACCTGGGGGTAACCACAGCAGAACCAGAACCACGTCGTCTCCTAAAGGACTCATCTTGCTTCTAAGAATTCTAGCTGCAAAAACGTCCACAGTTCAGACCGTTTCAGAGGTTTGTGACCCTGCTCTTTGAGTCAACCCTCCCCTGAAGCAGCTGCACTAAACGCGGTGCCTGGAGCGGTTGGGGCTGCTTTCTGCTCTGTCACCAACCCCACGGTGGCTTTGGACACAGCAGACCTCTCCCCACCCACTGGCCCTTTTAGCTCCAATTTCCTACAACTCCAGTGAAACAAGAGATCTGCTTGTGACAGTGACGCTCTGTTACTGCACATTCTTTTCTCCCTCTGGCAAGTATTTTGGCAAACACCGTGGCGCCAATGAAGGAAGAAATAACCCTCAGTCACTTTTTCTTGAGTCACATGGCGTAAGAGCCAGGGTGCTCAGAGGTGTATGGGGAAGGAAGGTGGCAGCCATGGCCATCCCTGGTTACAAAACTCTGGTCATGTCCATCCATGTCACATCTGTCATCTACAAGATCACTGGTTTGAAGGCACCACCCAGATTAAGAACCTCTCTGACCCCAGATTTTACACACAGGGGGCCCGGCCAAGGCTGTAGAGCTGGTCAGTGGCAAGCAGGGACCAAAAGGAAACCCGAAGTCTGTCTTTATCATCGGTGTTTGTCTCTGAGATTAAATCATTTGCCTGCTCAGGTTGAAAAGACCCGCTTTACCTGGCCGGGGCCTCAGCATTCACGCCATCATCATGCATGTTTTGTGGATGGTCTGATGGTTCATCCACAGGGACCTGAAACCTGCGAGAGAGAAAGCAGTTCCCGGGGTCTGGATGCAGCAGAGCCGACCCGGCGTGGGGCCAGCCTGGTGTGTGTGCTCAGGTTCATGGCACAAACCCTAACCTGAGCACACCCTCAGAGCCCGCCTTGGGCTTCGGGCCTCGGATATTTACCGAGGGCCAAGACCATAACAGCGGATGAGAGAGGCTGGGCCCTGCGTTCCCGGGAGCCCTGTTCTGGTTGGGGAGACATGCCAAGGTGGGGCACCGCAGGTCCAAATAGGGGGGCAGTGACTGTGAGTAAGACCTGCTTTCAAAAGGAGGGTTCAGGAAGGCCTCCCTGCTGATGCTCAAGCTGAGGCCTGGGTGATGCAGTCCCTGGAACAAGCTGAAGCAACAACATTCCAGGCAAAGGTGGGGAAGTGGGAGCCAGTCCAGCTTCTTTGCAGAACCAAGAGGCCATCATGACAGGTGTGGAGAGGGGCTGACGAGGACAGAGGTGGGCAGAGAGGGTCCCAAAAGGACTCTCAGGCCCCAGGTCACACTGACTGTGACCTGCTGGAGGGGCTAGGGTGGAGACGGGGTTGACGATGGTGGCTTGGACTGGGGGCCCCAGTGGAGACAGAGCAGGTGGACCATGACAGCTGAGTCAACAGGATGTGGGGAGGGGTTAGCAATGGAGGTGAGTGGAGGAGGGGAATCATGTCTCCTGAGCTTTTAACGAGCGCCTGTGTGACTGTGATGCCTGCACTAAGATGAGACGGGAGTAGCTTGTCCAGGAGAAGGAAACTGAGCTCTTGGGGCACTTGTGGGGTTTGGGGTACCCTGAGACATCGAAGCAGAGACCCCCCAGGAAGGGGTACATGAAGATAAGTCTTGGGTGGGTCTGTGCTGGGGCAGTGGGTTGGGGGTCATCTGCAACACCATGGGGTTTTGGAGTTTTTAACTTTAAAAAAAATTGGGGAGACACACCATGCAGCATGTGGGACCTTAGTTCGCTGAGCAGAGATAGAACCCATGCCCCTTGCAGTGGAAGCACAGAGTCCTAACCAGTGGACAGTGAGGGAAGTTCTACCATGGGGTTTTAAAGCTGGGGGGGCGGACTGGGTGAAGCCCCTTAAGGAGAGAGCACAGGATGAGAAGAGTGCCTGAGACTGAGCTCTGGGGAAAACTGACATTTGGGCATTGAGCCGAGGAGGTAGAGCCAAGCCAAAGGTACTAAGAAGGACTAGCTGGAAGGGTCGGAGGGAAGCTGGGAGGATGGGGTGTCTCAGAAGCAAGAGAAGAGCGAGATGAAGGCGACAGTCCAGGCTCATCATCGCTGCTCCAAGGTCAAAGGATGTAGCTGGAAGGTTGCCGATGATGGAACAAGAGCAGATCCAGGGCGTGGGGTTGAAGGGGGTTCCCAGCACTGGGAGGGGAGGAGGCAGCGGGCAACTCTAGATACCTGCAAAGTGGTCCACGAAGAAGGGGAGGGGCAGCCTCCCTGCTCACCCCAAACCCCCAGGGGCTGGGCTCCAGCCTGAGCTCCTTTCTAGTCACTGACACCAACCACAGATGCTGCTTCCCTACAGAGGTGTGACTGCCAGGGTATTGCCCCTTAGAGGCAGGCAGGAGCACACTACTGGCAGCCAACTGCTCACCAAAGCAGGGCACACAGAAGGGAAAGGATGCACACAGAAAGAGCGTGGGTTAGAATGGGCACACGGTGTGAACAAGTGGGGTCTGTGACACCACAATGTCACCTCCACTTAGAGGCCCCCAGGATTATGCCCATCCTGACTATAACACCAGAGGTTAGTTCTGCTTGGTTTTGAGGTTCTATAAATGGAATCACACAGTATCTGGAGTAAACTGCACTGAATGTCAGTCTAGGAGGACACTGTCATTAGTCCTGGGTGGATTTGATCTAGGGATTTGATCAAGGGATCTAGGGATGCAGGGATCTAGGATTTGATCAAGACTCTGCAAAAGGAGGACTTTCCTGGCGGTCCAGTGGCTAAGACTCCTCACTCCCAATGCAGGAAGTCTGGGTTGGATCCCTGGTCCAGGAACTAGATCCCACATGCTGCAATTAAGAGTTAGCATGTCACAATGAAGGTCCCACATGCCACAACTAAGACCCAGTGCAGCTAAATAAGTGAATATTTTTTAAAAACTGCAAAAAGTATGATTAGTGCAACCACTCAATGTGACTTGTTAAAGTAGTCACTCAAAGGGTGGCTTGGGGCTTTGCTGGTGGTTCAGTGATTAAGACTCCACCTTGCAATGCAGGGGACACTAGTTTGATCCCTGATCTGGGAAGATCCCACATGCCACAGGGCAACTAAGCCCATGGGCCACAACTACTGAAGAACCATGAAGAACCATGCTCTTAGAGCCTGTGCTCCACAACAAGAGAAGCCAACCCAATGAGAAGCCCGAGCACTGCAACTAGAATGTAGCCCCTGCTCACCGCAACTAGAGAAAGCCCTTGCACAGCAATGAAAAGCCAGCACGGCCAAAAATAAATATGTAAATAAATATTTTAAAAAATAATAAAATTAAAAAAATTAAAAGTGGCTTGGCAGTTCTGGATTAATATAGCAATTGTGCACACACACTCTTAATTTTCCTCCTTCCCCAAACTCACTAAAACTAGTAAAGGGACCAAAATAATGATGGGGGATGTCCTCTCCAGGTTGACAGTAGGAAAGAATAACAGCAAAATTTGGAAGCTGGAGAGCAGTAGATAAGTGTCCACTAATTCAGCAGACCTGAGAAGCTGAGGTCCCACCAGTTCCCACCACAGAATCCTCGGCGGGCTCAGGAACAGGCAGCCCTGTTGCCTCTGCAACTCGGGGTGGGACTGAAATAGGACAGTGAAGGTTAAGGTCCCTACCTCTGAACAGCTGCATCTCCCTAACCCTGAATTCTGAAAGGTTAGTCTCTGGGAGGATATGACACACAGGTGAGAACTACTGAAAATCAGAAAATTAGGTGTGCAGGCAAATGATCCACATGGTGACCTTCCAGGAAGGAAACTGGGCAAAGATCTAAAACTGACATTGGGGCATTAAAAGAAATTAATCATGGGGCTTCCTTGGTGGCTCAGTGGTAAAGAATCCTCCTGCCAATGCAGGAGACACAGGTTCGATTCCTGGTCTGGGAAGATTCCACATGCTGCAGAGCAGTTAAGCGTGTGCTCCACAACCACTGAACTTGTGTTCTAGAGGCCAGGAGGTGGAACTACTGAGCCCATGTTCTACAACAGTGGACGCCTCCTCAATGAGAAGCCTGCTCATGGCAACTAGAGAGCAGCCCTTGCTCTCTGCCACCAGAGAAAAGCCTGAGCAGCCAAGAAGACCCAGAAGAGCTAAAAGTAGAAAAAAAAAAAAAAGGCAAAGCAAAAAACCCCACCCACCCAGATGCCTCACATGACCCACATGCTCAGAGCTTGAACCTGCTCTCCCCGACCTCACTCCTAACATGAAGAGGCAATCAAAGATTTCCTGACATCTGAGAAAAGCCTTTAACATGGAAGGTAGAAACTGAAACAAACAAAAGTAACTTGGAGGAAACAGCCTTCAGGGAGAAGGAAACTTAAAAAAAAAAAAAAAAAGGCAAAAAAACCTATCAGCTCCCAAAGAGGTTAGATGTCATGTCCATGAAACAACTGAATGCTGTGTAACTAGAGCAGTCAGGGTACCAAAAACACCTCTTTGGAAGTGAAAGCCAATTTATAACATTTAAAAGAGCTCTTGGGGACTACCCTGGCTGTTCAGTGGCTTAGATTCTGTGCTCTCAATGCAGCAAGCATGGGTTCAATCCCTGGTCTGGGAACTAGATCCCACATGCCACAACTAAGAGTTCAAGTGCCACAACTAAAGATCACACATGCAGTAATGAAGATCTAAGATCCCATGTGCTGCAACTAAGACCTGGTGCAGCCAAATACATAAATATATTTTTAAAAATAAAAGAGCTCTTGGAAATTTTCTTCAAAAATGAACTAAATACACAAGTTGGAAGATAAATGAAGAAATCTCCCAGAAAAGTATGGCAGATAAATGAAGAGAAAGAAAAAAAGGACTGAAAAGGGAAGGTAAATCAGAGGACCAGCCACAGAAGTCCAGTATTCAATAAGAATTTCAGAAAGTGGAGAAAAGAGTGGAGAAAATCAATTAACCAGTTCAAAAAGAAATATGCCCAGATAAGGACACATATTTCCAGATTGAAGGGACCCACTGGTACCCAATGGATAAAACTTTTGCTATTGTTTAGTTGCTAAGTCACATTCTATTCTTTGCAACCCCATGAACTATAGCTAGACCTGCACCAATATGAAATTTTATAACACTGGGAGCAGAGAAGATTCCACAAGCTTCTAAAGAGAATAAGTAGGTCACATTACAAGGATTAGGAATCAAAATGCTTTCAAACTTCTCAAAGACAACCCTGGAAGCCAGAAGACAGTAGAGTAGTGCCTTTAAAGGAAATAATTCCCAGTCTAGAATTTCCAACTAGAATTCAATACCCAGCAAAACTATCAGTCAGTCAAGCACGCAGGCAGAATAAAGATACAACAGGAACTTCCCTGAAGGTCCAGTGGTTGAGACTCGAGGGTTCCAGTGCAGGGGACAAGGGTTCAATCCCTGGTTGGGAATAAGATTTCATGTCTCACAGTATGACCAAAAGATAAAAAGAAAGAAAGAAAGATACAGCAGACTTGTGCTGTTCAAAACATGTCTGTTCCATCCTCTCAAGATGCTGTTTGGAGGATAGGCTCTACCAGATCATGAACAAGGACATGTGGCATATTGGAATCAGATCTCACTTTGGGGCAAGGCAAATGGAGTCCCCTGGAGGGTGTTAGAAGGAGAACCCAGGCTGACCACTGTGTACCAGTGCTACAGGGCAACCACCGTGGGGCTTGTGACCTGAGAGGCAGGCACATTGATGACTTGCCACCAAGAAACCCTCTGTCCCCCTTAACACTTCCAGTGCCCAAGGATGGTGCTGAGAGCCTGGTCCAGGTCCCTGTCTAGACTTGGCTTAATCATGGGCTGGGGAAGTTCTCTCTCCTCTGTGTCCCGCTGCCTGAATCAGCTGAAGATCCTCATTTCACCTCCAAAGTGTAAAGAGGTGGGTGATTGTGTGCCTAGAAGCAGAAACTCAGAGCAGCCCACGCATTCTGTGTTTTAGCAGAGGTCCAGCGCCTGACCTGCCCAGATCATGACCTGGCCCACTTCCGTGATAGGGGCTCTTCCAAAGATGTGGCACTTTCTCTATCCACATCCAGAAGTATCTTGGTTCCCCCAGAATACCTCCAGTCTCACCTGGGCTCCAGTCGCTCCTTCACCTTGGCAATGGAGCGGACGTAGGGTGTGATTTGCTTGGTGATGGTGGTCAGGTAGGCATTCTCCTGCTTCAGCTGGAGAAGGTCATGGAGCTGGGCTGTGGGGGCCCAGGCCAGAGAATGAGGTCTTGTTGGCTTTAGATCCTCACTCTCCAGCCTCAATTCATGTAAATATCCCAAGTATTTGAGTGATTACCTCTAATTAAAGCATGAGGTAAGATTCCTAAAGTCATCCTACTTGCTGAATTCTGACCTCAGATATATTTTTTGGGGGTCAGTTAGCAGCTGTGAGTCAAGAACTAAGTGGGGGACTTCCTGGTGGTTCAGTGGCTAAGACTCCACACTCCCAATGCAGAGGATCCGGGTTCCATCCCTGGTCAGGGAACTAGATCCTCCATACCACAACTAAGACCCGGCACAGCCAAATAAATAAGAGTTTTGGAGTTTGAATCTGGTTATTGGGTAACTGGCTTCCTGCCCCTGAAAGCATGTGGAGGGGGAGCACTCAGCAGCAGCTGCCCGGGACCTTCATATATCTCCTGTTCGTTAGCCACCCGCTGGTAGGAGTCCTCCCAAATCTGAAAGAGAAAGTAAGCTGGATATTGCACATGGCCGAATTGGAAGTTCCATTGTTGGCATTTCTGTCCTCTAGCTGCTCAGAACCACAGGGTGCTCCAGGCAGTTCCCATGGTTCCAGTGTGCTCCCAGTAAGTTCCTGGGTTCCAGGCAGCAGAGACCCAGGTTCCAGAGCCTGTGAGGGCCTCCTGTGGCACCAGGCTGAGGTCACCCCCCTACTTCCTATCTGGGGGTAGCCCACCAACACACTGACAGGTGGGGCTGCGGGGAGGAAGGTGCCTTGGGAAGGGCTACCTCCTGGAAGACTGCTCTCAGGCCCTCCACGGAAGCATACTCCGAGGCGATCTGGGCATCCACCTGCAGGGCCTTGTGTAAGATGTCACCCATGATCTCGGCTTTGATGAGGGAATGGTGCTTGGTGAGGTCCCGGTGCAGCTCCTGTACCTGGTCCTTCAGGTTCTGCATCTCTGTCTGCAGGCGCTGGGGGAGGGGAGAGACCGGTGTGTGCCAGTGTGCCCTGCAGGCTGGGTGTATTGCAGGGGCCTCGGTGGAGGGGCGCCTGGCAGCCCTGGTGGCCGGATGAGGTTTGGCCACTGCACTTTGGTGCGAAGGGGTGGGGCCTTTCCTCACTGGCCCATCCTGGCCTCCTCACCCGGTAGGAGTCCTCGTAGTGGCGGCAGTGCTCGGTGAAGGGTGAGTCCTCGCCCTCTGCCAGCAGCACCTTGGTGCTGATGGACCGGTGCAGTGTGGGCTTTTGGACTGGTGACCCCAACATCTTCCCCACTGGGGAAGGGCAGCCGGGCCCCCTCAGCACCTTGGGGCCCGGGCCCCCTGCGAGCCTGGGGAGAGAACTCGTGTGGATATGGCTGTGGGGGTCCAGAGAGTTTTCCCTTCCCCCAGCCTCTCACCCCAGGCGGCACACCAGAACCACACAGGGGCCCAAAATAAACCTGATGCCAGGCCTTGCCCACCAAAGACCAATGACATCAGCAGGGCATTTTTAAAAATCCTGAGGGTGAAGCCAGTGTGCAGAAGAGTCCATCAGGATGTCCTCAGGGCTGGTCCCCAGCACACCGTAAGTTCACACACACATACTGGACCTTGAAAATTTGGCCTGATACCCAGTCTCCCGTGCCTGGGGCCCTGGGACCCTTGGCAGACACCCCCAGCTTAGGCATTTCTCCTAACTCCTAGGGATCTCCAGCTCTTCAGACTGTCCCCCCCCATTCCCGGAAGTCAGACCCCCTGCGGTTTCTGGTGACCGAGACCCCACTGTAAGCTACCCTTACTTTCAGGGCTTAGACACCCCAATCCAGGTGCACAACTGCGGTTGGGGGCAGCCCCTGAGTCCTCCTGTTTACCCCTGACCCGGCTCCAAGCCGTCTACCGCGGGCTTCCGACCAGGATGGCTGCTTTCAGGCTGGGCAGGCTTCCGCGTGGAGGTCGGAGGTGCTCAGACGCGGCACCCGGAACTCGGTGAGCTGGGAAAGTCTGCCCCCACCCCAATGGGAATCTTGTGCCCGCCTCCCCGTTCCCGGTCCCGGCGCCCTGGCGGCTCACGTGCTGGTGCCACCCCCGGCACCCGCCGCCCGGCGTGGCCCCAGCAGCAGTAGCGGCTCCAGGCAGCGCGCGAACTCGGCGCGGTGGTCGCTGGCGATCTGGGTGGCAGAACGACGTCGTGAGGTAGGTCCCTACCCTGCGGGACTGCGCCGCCCCCCGCGGCCCACCCCACGGCCCGGTCTCCCCCGCCCACTCTGCGTCCCCGGCCCGCGCCCCCGCTCCCGTCTCACCCCACGCCCCCACGCACCTTGCTGCTCTGTGCCGGCCGCAGGCGATGTGGCCGCGTGACGATGCCCTGCAATCTCTCCATCAGCTCCTGCGGCCCGGGGAGCGGGGAAGGGGAGGGCTCTCAGGTGGGTGGGTGCGGGCGGGGGAGGCGGGGTGACACTGAGGGGAGGGGCCCGGAGGGCGAGTCTGCCTTTAGGACGGTTACCTGCCTTCCGATCCTCCCTGGGGTTGGCCGGATCTCCACCCCAACCACCGCCCCCACCCCCGCCCCCCAAATCGACCGGAAAGGCTGGGATGTCTGGACTTCAGCAGACTCTGCGTTTTAGGGGAGGAGGTTTATGCTCGCTTCAGGCTCTGCTGTCCTTTTATTTATTTATTGGCTGCACTGGCGGCTTTGGGGGATCTTAGTTCCCCCGTCAGGGACTGACCCTTGCAGAGTCCTAACCAATGGAGACCACCAGGGAATTCCCTGCTGTCCTCTTAAAAGGGCTCTGCTGGCCCCCAGGTAGTTTGTAGATGACGATGTGGAGGAAGTGGCCAGCCTCCAGGTAACAGGCTAGCCAGCCCTGAGGTGGGGGTCTCAGATGTGCACAGTGAGCTCCTGCTGGGGAGGGGGGGACCCAGGAGCTGGGGGCACTCACGTAGCCCAGGTCCAGGAACTCGGCCTTGTTGGCCAAGCTGAGGAAGGAAGAGCAGATGACCAGGTGAACCTGCAAGAGGGACGCTACTCAGTGCCTGGGCGGGGTGCCCAGCCCCATGCCCCCAGCTCCCCTTACCTGCAGGGTGGGCAGCAGAGTGGCCAGATGGGAGAGCTGCTCCTTGAAGGCCTTGTCCTTCTCTTCATACTGGCTGGGGGAGGGGCAGGCAGCCTCATCTCCAAGGGGAGGGCTGCCCACCCCCACCTGGGCGGGGCCTCGGAACTGAGTGCTTCCATCTCCCCACGCTTTGTGCGTCCTTCCCTGTCTCCCCTTCCCTGAGCCACCCTGCCGTCCCCCCGCCGGGGTGGACACCTGGATGTCTTGCTCTGAGGGTGGGACGGGGCTGGCCTAGGCTCCAGCTGGTATCTGGAGGTCAAGGGGCAGAGGGTGGAGACCCTGCCACCACTCACCTCTGCACGGCCTGCAGCAGCAGCGCTTTCCTCTCTAACAGTTTGTCCTGGGAGGGACAGTCCACTAACTGACTGGGCAGACTCGGCCCTGCCCCCTCCCAGCACTCTCCCAGGCTCCTGGGCCCCAGCCACACAGCTGCTTAGCCTGGCTCTCTCTCCAGCCCACGAGCTCTGCTACCCCTGCCTGGGAGCACCGGCAGCCTCACCTTCAATGTCACCTCCTACAGAAAGTCTTCCCTGACCACCTCCCATCACCAGCCCCAGCCTAGGGCGGGCCCTTGCTCCTCCTCTGAATTTTCCCAGCTACTGAGATTAACTAACTCCTGAAAGTAGTTCAGTGCTTGCTATACTGGAATCTCTAGGAGGGCTGGGGCAGGCCTGGGCCCCAGTCAGGTCATGCTGACAAGGATTCTGGGCTGTGGCTGTTCAGTCCCCCCTATGCCTCACCTGCATGCTGCTGAAGAGGGCCTGGATGGCGGCCTCCTCCTCTGCCGCGCTGCGTCGCACCTCCTCCACCATCGCCTGCAGCAGCTCGATGGCCTCTCGCGTGGCGGATTGCAGGGCCTTCACCTCCTGGGGACAGGGCGGCCTCAGCCTCCTGGGGACGCGCGTTCCCAACCCCGGCCCCGGCATGCCCGGCAGCCCGCGCTCACCAGCACCGCCTGCTGCAGCCGCTCGCAGCCCTGGACGTAAGCTGACTCGAGGTCCACGCAGTGGACGCGGCTCTCCCTGCAAGGACCCCGCGCGTGAGCCCCGCTCCGGGACGCTCGCCAGCTCCTCACCTCCTGCGCCCTCTACCCACCCCTGCATGTCCCGGAAGCAGCGGATGCACAGCAGCGACTTCTTGTCGGTGGAGAACAGGACATAGGGCTCGGCGTGCAGCGCTGCGGCGGGGGCGGCAGTGAGGGCGCCGGGCAGCGCCCGCCCCCATCCCCGCCCGGCGCCGGCCCCATCCCCGCACGCCGCACTCACTGCACTTCTGGAGCACGTCGCGGCTGCGCTGGCCCAAGGCCACGATGTCGTGGCGCGCGAACATGCGTGCCCGGTGCGTCTCGTCGCGGCAGCGCGCGCACAGCGGCTGCCCGCAAGTGTTGCAGAAGTATGTGGTCTCCGCGTCCTGCGGACAGAGCTCGGGCTCATTCCCCCGGTGAACTGGGAGCCCGTCTTTGCGCGTCTGCGAGTCTCCGGCAGCGGCAGGGCCGCCGGCAGCCCTCACATGTAAACCCGACGCGCAGCGCTCTGTATCCCGTTTACAGACGAGACTATTCGAGGCTGAGAGAGTAGGTAAGGGGGAGGTACCCATAACGGGCTTGAGGAGGGGGTTACCCAGGGTTGTGGGGGAGGGCAGATACTGTATTTGCAAAACATTTAACCTACAACAGAAACGTATGTGTGCCCATGGGCAAGACCTGTCAAGCCCCTCTTGGCACCCTCAATAGGAGCCACATGGCTGTGTTCACCCCAGCCATTTGGAGTTGGAACTTGACTGGGAGGGGGAAAGGGATGAAGGTCTGTAGGTGCCCTTCCCTGTGGCTGACAGTCCAAGGCATCGATCCCAGGGATGGCTATGAAAACACAGACCCCCAATTTCTTTGGCATTCAAGGCCATTTCCTCCCCAGGCTCTCCCTATGTCTGGCCCCTCACCTACTGCCCTTATCTCCATACTTCCAGGTAGCACATGTTCTAGAACTTGCCAGCACACCCTGACCTTTTGCTCCTGTAGGGACATCCTCCCGGGAATCCTCAGACCAGCTTCCACAGTTCAGAGAGAGTCCCCTGTGCACTTCTCAGTCCAGCCTGAAGCCTGGCCTCTGCTCCCAGGTCCTTCAGGATGACCTCTCCACAGTAAGACAGTGTGCTCACATCCCCTGTCCTCTCTGGCTGCAGATAGCAGCTCGCGGCTACCCAGGTAGCAGTGGACCCTCGAGGGACTCCAGGTCTGTGCAATGGATCACTCTTCCTGTTCCATTTCACAACTCTGCCCTGAGTTGGGGGCCAGTAAACTCCCCCCAAATCCAAATGGCTTTAACCCCTGCACCTAACACACTGTTGGTTCAAGTGAGTTGTTTTGGACTTCAGTCCCCACACCAGAAAAATGGGGCCCCTGTTCTGGATATGAGGTGCCTGAGAGAGGGGCTGGAGAGCCCACTGTTGGGTGATCCTCTGAGGATATGGCATCAGGACAGTGCAGCCTGGTGCCCTCCGCTCCCCACTGCACCCCAGGTGCCCCTGCCTGCTTGCCGCACTCCAGGTCGCAGTTGGCACAGCGCACCACCTCGGCGCCATCCCCTGAGCTGTCCACCAGGAACTGCAACAGCCGATCCACTGGAGGGAGCCCGCTGGGGCCCTTCACCACCGTCTGGTGCCTGTGGAGAAGCTTCAGCCAAGCTCCAGATGCCCCTTCCCCGAGGCTCCCTACCCACTTCCTACTGCGTACATTCCAGGCGGAACTAAAAATAGGGTGGGAGGTGGGGTGCCTGCAGGCCTGACATCTATAAATATTTCAGTCAGTGCTCACTCCGACCCAGTCCCTTCCCAGCCCTGGAGGGATCCTGGGAGGGGGTTGGCGACTCAGGGTGTCAAAGGCAGAAGCCTCCCCTCAAGCCCCTCTCACTGCATTAGGCAAATTCAGGGCCACCCCAGTTATCCTGAGTTTCCCCGGCAGCCCAGCGGCTGAAGAATCCACTTGCAATGCAGGGGACAAAGGAGACTTGGGTTCAATCCCTGGGTCGGGAAAATCCCCTAGAAATGGCAACCCACTCTAGTATTCTTGCCTGGAGAATCCCATGGACAGAGGAGGAGCCTGGAGGGCTACAGTCCGTGGGGTCACAAAGACTCAGACACGACTGAGCAACTGAGCACACATGCACAGGTAGCTTGAGCCAACATAACTTGCTACTTTGACCTAGGACTTAAGGACCCCTAAGTGAGTCATTGGGAGTGTCCAGATGCTGAGCTGCGATCGCCTACTCCAGCAGCATCCAATTCCACAGCAGAGGCACTCTAGCCCGTCCTTGCCCCCTGATTTATCTTGAGAGGCCGTGGGTCATAATCCCAGGTCTCAGTTACCCTGATCTGTAAAATGGGCAGGAGCCTTCACAATCTCTGGCAGAGAGGCACCAGCTGGGTGCAGTCTCTCCCAGCCTTCTTCCTGAAGAGTCTTGCCCTCCCTCCCAGCACCCAGATCCCTTCCCAGAGGGAGCCAGCCTCCCCTCCTCTGGGGCTTCCAGGCACTCACTGGCACAGAGGGCAAGCGAGGCGGCCATCGGCAGCACGGCCACGCAGGCAGCCGGCGCAGAACTCGTGAAAGCAGTCCAGCAGGCATGGGCGCTCATACTGCGCGTGGCACAGCGGGCACACGAGGGGGTGGCCGCTTGTCCCATCCAGGGCGCCCGGACCCTCCAGAGGCGTGAAGATAGCTCCGGACATCTTCAGGGACAGCGCAGGAGGGCGGCGGGGCGCCCTTGTTTGGGGGGGAGCTCTCACCGTGCTCGCGCCCACATCTGCAGCCCCCCTTCCCCTGTGCGGGTCCCCCTTACCTGTCCGGCCCGGACCCTTCGTGGCGTCCAGAGATCGTGGAGCGGGGGAGCAGCTAGGGCTCGGGGCTGGGGGCTAGAGCGCCGGGGCGGGGAGGATGGGCAGGAGGCCCGCAGAGAGGCCAGACCCTGTGCGTCCTCCCACGTCTCCAAGGCGGCCCTGGAAGGTCAGTCAATGCATCCTACCCAACGCCCAGCCTCCCTCTTTATCCCCCACCCAACCTCCCCTTACTCCCACCTCAGGAATTCTCCCGCCGGTGTCCTCTGGGTGACCCTCAGGCGGCACCCCTTCCGCCCCCCGGTGCTCCCGTCCACCTTTCCCAGGCCGGCGGCTGCTGCCTCGTCGCGAGGGCCTGCACCGAACGAACTCCGCGCTCCCCCACCGCTCTGACCCAGGGCTCCGGTCACAGCCACGGACACCGCCACTGTACCCCACGCCCGGAGGAGGAGTGTGGCGGGAACTCGCGGCTGGAAATGACCCCGTGGGGCCAGGGTTCGAAACTTGGACTGGATGCCGCCCGGGATGGCAGAGCCCCGAGCCCGGAGTCGCCGGAGCGCCGCACAGAGCGGGGCGAAGGCCCTGGCTGCGGGCTCCTCCGGGGTCTATGGCACCCCGGCCAGATGGCTCTGTCCGGTCGGACTTGGCCGGGACAGGAGTTGGTCAGCGCGGTCCTATTTCCTCAACAGCCAGTTGAGGGCGCCCGAGAGCAGCAGCCGCCCCTCCCACCCATTGGCTTGGGAGGCACGTGAGAGGGCTTGGCATGCCACTGCTGCGTTTGGCAGGTTGGGGGGCCAAGATTCCGACCTCTCAGAGCCTCGGAGGTGGGTTAGAACAGGGGGACCTCCCAGTGATCAGGGCAGACTTCAATGAAGTGAAATGCACGTCCTAAGCCTCCAACAAAGCTAGTGGAGGTGATGGAATTCCAGTTGAGCTATTTCACATCCTGAAAGATGATGCTGTGAAAGTGTTGCACTCAATATGCCAGCAAATTTGGAAAACTCAGCAGTGGCTACAGGACTGGAAAAGGTCAGTTTTCATTCCAATCCCAAACAAAGGCAATGCCAAAGAATGCTCAAACTACTGCACAATTGCACTCATCTCACATGCTAGTAAAGTAATGCTCAAAATTCTCCAAGCCAGGCTTCAGCAATACATGAACTGTGAACTTCCAGATGGTCAAGCTGGTTTTAGAAAAGGCAGAGGAACCAGAGATCAAATTGCCAACATTCGCTGGATCATTGAAAAAGCAAGATTTTTTCCAGAAAAACATCTATTTCTGCTTTATTGACTATGCCAAAGCCTTTGACTGTGTGGATTACAATAAACTGTGGAAAATTCTGAAAGAGATGGGAATACCAGACCACCTGACCTGCCTCTTGAGAAATCTATTTGCAGGTCAGGAAACAACAGTTAGAACTGGACATAGACCAACAGACTGGTTCCAAATAGGAAAAGGAGTACGTCAAGGCTGTATATTGTCACCCTGCTTATTTAACTTATATGCAGAGTACACCATAAGAAACGCTGGGCTGGAAGAAGCACAAGCTGGAATCAAGATCGCTGGGAGAAATATCAATAACCTCAGATATGCAGATGACACCACCCTTATGGCAGAAAGTGAAGAGGAACTAAAAAGCCTCTTGACAAAAGTAAAAGAGGAGAGTGAAAATGTTGGCTTAAAGCTCAACGTTCAGAAAACTAAGATCATGGCATCTGGTCCCATCACTTCATGGGAAATAGATGGGGAAACACTGGAACAGTGTTAGACTTTATTTTTTTGGGCTTCCAAATCACTGCAGCTGGTGATTGCAGCCATGAAATTAAAAGACAGTTACTCCTTGGAAGGAAAGTTATGACCAACGTAGATTGCATATTAAAAAGCAGAGACATTACTTAGCCAACAAAGTTCTGTCTAGTCAAGGCTATGATTTTTCCAGTGGTCATGTATGGATTTGAGAGTTGGACGGTGAAGAAAGCTGAGCACCGAAGAACTGATGCTTTTGAACTGTGGTGTTGGAGAAGACTCTTGAGAGTCCAAGGGACTGGATCTGCAAGGAGATCCAACCAGTCCATCCTAAAGGAGATCAGTCCTGGGTGTTCATTGGAAGGACTGATGATGAAGCTGAAACTCCAACTCTTTGACCACTTCATGTGAAGAGTTGACTCATTGGAAAAGACCCTGATGCTGGGAGGGATGGGGGGCAGGAGGAGAAGGGGACGACAGAGGATGAGATGGCTGGATGGCATCACCGACTTGATGGACATGAGTGTGGGTAAACAGGAGTTTGTGATGGACAGGGAGGCCTGGCGTGCTGCGATTCATGGGGTCGCAAAGAGTCGGACACAACTGAGCGACTGAACTGAACTGAAGCCTCCAAATAATTAAGACCCCAGTCCCATCAGCAGCGGATTGCCCCACGAAGAGGTAGCTTTAGGAGGGAGAGAGCAAGAGAGGACATGCTGAGCCTTTCCACCTGGGCCTCTCTGCCTTTCTTGGCCTGCTGTATACTTGTTTCACCCAGGGTGATTTTCTCCAAATTGCCTGCTTTCTCTACACATGCCATCCTGAGCTCCTGGAGAGCAGCCCCCATCTCTGCTCCCGCCACCCCCCCCACCCTGACCCCCGTCCCGGAAATCAGGGTCAAGCCACAGCCTGACCTGTGGAAGGTGCTCAATTAAATCTTACTAATCAGTTAGGAAAAACTAGGAGATAATATTCTAGCTGGGTTTTTAAGGATGAGTAGAAGTTTGCAAGGGAGAAGAAAGGAAGTGAATTCTAGGCAGGGAACATCTATTCTTTTCAGGGTTGATAGCTTATGGTGGTAGGTGTTGAGTTTGTGGTCTCTGAAGAAGGTTTCACTCCAGAACCAAAGATGCAGTCTCAGTCACTCAGAGCTTTGTGCAGCAAAGACTTTATTGAAATGAAAGGACAGAGAAAGTTTCTGATGTAGACATCAGAAGGGGGTGGGAAGAGTACCCACTTTGCTAGATTGAGCAGGGCATTATACACTTTTCAGCTGGCTTCTGAAAATAGATAAATAGATATAGATAGAAAATAGATAAAAAGAATACCTCAAGACTGAAAGTTTTACCAGACCCTTTCCTAAGGCATGTCAAAGATAGCCAAGGAGAATGGGTTCCAGGCAACATGCCTCTGGGAGAGATATAGTGTTGCTGAGAAAACAGGTTCCCAGGCAAGATTTGTTACAATTATAATCATTAACATAGAGCCTAAGGAAAGCATACCCATGAGTATCGATCAGTCCTGTCCGACTCTTGGCAACCCCATGGACTGTAGCCTAATAGGCTCCTCCGTCCATGGGATTTTCCAGGCAATAATACTGGAGTGGGTTGCCATTTCCTTCTCCAATAAGATGTGTTCAGTTCAGTTCAGTTGCTCAGTTGTATCTGACTCTTTGCGATCCCATGAATCGCAGCACGCCAGGCCTCCCTGTCTATCACCAACTCCCGGAGTTTACTTAAACTCATGCCCATCGAGTTGGTGATGCCATCCAGCCACCTTCTATTACTGCTCTGTAATTATTAGCTCCAGATCTAAATAAAAGCCAGCTCAGGCAAGATACATTGTTGCACAAGGCTTAAGGAAAGCATGAGCAAGATATATTGTTGCTTGTGCAGCCTATGTGACTAAGGCAAAAGAACCAGAGCAAAAATGTTCACCTCCTCCTTAAAGGAGCCTTGGACTCCCTATCAACCTGCCTAAGTTAATGCTAGCACAGCCCTCTCTAGCCCTTGTGCTCCAAGTCATAGTAACAGTGGCAAGTGTTTACAGGTCAAGGTACTATTCAAAGCTCTTTTACTTGTAATATCTCAACTAATATTGACCATCTTTTAAAAAAGTGAAAGTGTCAGTCGCTTAGTTGTGTCCTGACTCTGCAACCCCATGGCTATAGCCAGTCAGGCTCCTCTCTGTCCATGGAATTCTCCAGGAAAGAATACTGGAATGGGTAGCCATTCCCTTCTCCAGGGGATCTTCTCGACCCATGAATTGAACCCGGGTCTCCTGCATTGCAGGCAGACTCTTTACCATCTGAGTCACCAATCCTGACCACCTTACAGCCTTACTATTTGAGTAGTATCAATGTTTACTGAGCATCCACCAGGGGCCCTATACATAGAAATAGACAAACCACGTTCACCAAGAACACAAATCAACAAATACAACAGTGACAGGCTATGTTAAATATTCTGAAGGAAAGCATTGGAATGATGTGATGGAGGGCAGTTGGGAGGAGGTGGAGCTGAAGACACACTAGATAACCATGGATGGGCAGAGCTCCTGGAGAATGAGAAGAAATGAGACACAAGAAAAGCCAGGAAGGGTTCAGAGCTGAGCCAACAGCAAGTACAAGGTCCCAGAAGTTGGAATAAATGTGAAGGAAGGAAAGGAAGACCAATGTGGGTGGAGAGGAAGGGATGCAGGATTGGGGTGAGGCTGAGGATGGAGAGTGGAGGCAAGGGCATGGAGAGTTGAGGGTTGCATCTTTGGGGTGAAGGTGGTCATCTTCACCCTCTAAACTAGAGAGTCCATGCTGGAGGCTGTACATACAGACTTGGGGAGTCATACTTAAGGTTATGTGTCTGGACTTCCCTGGTGGAACAGTGGTTAAGACTGTGCGCTTCCATTGCAGGGGATGCAGGTTTGATCCCTGGTCAGGGAACTAAGATCCTGCATGCCCTGTGGCATGGCCAAAAAAAAAAAAAAAAAAAAGATATGTGTTTGGAGCATGGCAAAGGTCAAGTGTAGATAAAAACGAGAGGGGCTTTGCTTCCTGTAGACCTTCAAGTCTAGGGAGGAGGAGGAGGGAGCAGCAAGGAGACAGAGGAGTGGCCAGAGGTGGAAGGAGAACCAGGAGAGATTGAGGTCCTGG